CCCCTCTCCCCCCCCGGAAAGTCGGGCCGAACGCCCCAGCCGCGGATGCGGGCTGGTCCCCGCACGTTCCCGCTTAAAAAGCTGGGGAAAACGGTCATTAAACTACCGAGCCCACACAAAAAGTAAAGAGCGGCTTTTTTTCCCCTTCTCTATTCTCACAAACGCGAATAAGAGCGCCGTTTCTTAAGTGAAAGCACTCGTTGAGACACTCCCGGAAAAAAAAATAAAATTAAAAATCGTAGTTTCAGGGAAGGAGCTAAAAGCAGTCATCACTAAACAACTCTCCTGGCAAAAGCAGAGCAGGAATCCTCTCAAATAGCATGGAGCATTGCGCATTTGAAATCTTAATTAACCGAAACTTCCAACTATTAATATATATGAGATTTTCTCGTAGAAAAGGGGAAACGAAAGTGTAGGAAAACATGCCTTCATGACTAAGTATATTGCGATCAAGTCGCTTTTCTTTCCCTTCCCTCTTAATGTCTATAGGTCTTTTGTTCACCCTGTCCTGTAGCTAGGACTCCCTCTACACTTAAGAGATTTAAGGAGGTGAAACACGTTTCCAACGTACTCCTACGGGGCTAGAGATTAAACTACCATGTGAGCTTTCTAAATCATGGCTAGGAACATAGAAATGTTCCTGGTGCCAAAACGAAGCGAAAAGCAGATGAGCCGAGGGCTGGCAGAGCCCCAGCAGCAAGACGGCCTCCCACCCGCCGTGCAGGGCAGCACAGCCTCCCCTCCCGCTCACATCAGCCATCCGCTCTCCCTCCTCACTCTCCTCTCCCCACCATCTCCCGAGGGGTGAAGGACATTTTGGTGGTAGAAGTTATTGGAGCCTTTCTACCCCCTTCCCTGCCAAGACAGGCTCAGAGGAAATGTTATGAGAAAGGGAGGGAGGAGGAAGGATGAGGGTATGTTTGCAGCTCAGGCGCCCAGGCCGCGCAAAAATGATTTATCTTTTAAATGACCATAGCAAGAGAGACAGCTCGAAGGCCAGCACAGAAAGAGGAACCCGAGAACCACGGCAACCTCGTGTGCCCCACTGCCAGACCCCCCTCTCTCTCTACTACACCGGCTCCTTCCCCAGCCCCCCGCACGGGTGCCCTGCCTGCCCGGGAGGCCTTTTGCGCTTCTGACTCCCTCATACCATTCCCCGAGGGGCTCCTCGCCCTCCCTTTCCGCTGCCCCCATTCCTCTCCGTGTCCGCAGTCGTGTGTGTCGTCGTTCCCTCCCCCCCCATCTTCTGCCTCTCCGCTCCTTCCCCTCCTCCTGCCCTCGAAACGGCGTGAGCAGCTACCTTGGGCATCGCCGCCGCTGGTCAGCACCCCGATGGCCTTCCCGGTGCCCGAGAGGTTCTCGAAGAACTTCGGTTGGTGATCCATGGCGCCGTGGGGGCGGCACCGGCGGGCGAGACGGAGCGAGGTCGCTGAGGGAGCCCCTGGCCGCGGGGCGCTGCCCTGCTACCCGAGGTGCACACTCCGCTGGATCAAATATTTGGCCTCTGCGAAAAAGAGCCCGAAAAAACCCGGTGTAGATGGGTATTTACAGACAGGTATATTTCTATAGAAAAAACGAGAGGAGGAGAGGGGGCGGCTGTGTGAAAAAGCCCGGGGGGAGGGAAAAGAGGTGCAGAGAGAGCGGAGGAGATGCAGCTCTCACATTGCAGCCAACTACCCGCCTCTCCCCCCGCCGTGGCCGCTTCCTCTCCCGCTGCCAGCCCTGCACGGCGCCGCCCCGCAC